GGGGCGCGGGCGCGGGCGCGGGCGGGGGCACTAGCTCGCTTCTTGGAAATTTAGTCGCAATGGATCGCTTCACGGGGCCGCAACGCGCTTACTGCGTGACACAGTTTTATTTAAACGACTTTTCGCTCATTACTGTGAGACGCTTATTTCGCGTTGAATATGGTTTACACGACTTAAGTCAGTGTCCAAGTGCTCCTTTAATAAAGAAATGGGTGAAGAAGTTCGAAGAGACGGGATCTACACTAAATGTGAAACAAACCGGCGGCCCACGGACTTCTCGGAGCGAAGAGAACGTGCAGCAAGTTTCCGCTTCTGTTCGACGTGATCCAGATTTATCGACACGCAAACGTTCGGCTGAATTAGGATTATCCCGCACATCATTACGCCGTATTTTGAAATTAGATTTGAAATTACATCCATATAAGATCCAGATAGTGAAAGAACTAAACCCTAATGATTTAAATTTGCGTAAGTCATATGCCGAAACAATGTTAACTCGTTTCAGTAATTTTCACAACATCTTATTTTCTGACGAAGCCCATTTCCACCTAAATGGACATGTAAACAAACAGAATTGCAGGTATTGGAGCAGCGAAAATCCTAAAGCTAAACATGAGAGGCCACTTCACTCTCCTAAGGTAACTGTATGGGCTGCAATTTCAGCAAAAGGAATCATCGGACCTTACTTTTTTGAAGATTCTCGAGGCCGTTCAGTTACTGTTAATTCTGCCGAGTATGTGAAAATGTTACGGGAGTTCTTAGCACCGATGCTACTGGAATTTGCTGGCTATAATCGTAACACATGGTTCCAACAAGATGGAGCCACGTGTCACACATCGAACGAGTTCTTGCCGGTGGTCAAAGACATGTTTCCGGAAAAGCTGATATCCAGACGGGGTGACATCCCATGGCCACCCAGAAGTCCAGATCTATCCCCAGCAGACTTCTTTTTATGGGGTTATTTAAAGAGTCGTGTCTACATTGATAAACCGAATACACTGCGTCAACTTAAAGAAAAAATCATCGAAGAGATGTCGGCGATCTCGCGGTCTCTTTGCAGAAGAGTATTCGAAAACTTCAGGACTCGCTTAGATGAGTGCAAAAACCGAAACGGTGGTCATTTAGACGAAATAATTTTTAAAAAATAAATTACAACTAATTAGCTTTCTCGTAAATAAACGATTTCTAAAATATGTTAAATGGTTTTTTTTATACGATTTTTTCAAATGTTAACTAATTCATGGCCCACCCTGTATAAGACATTTCAAGGTTATCCATTTATTACCGGACACGCGATATATTTAAAAACAATTTAATCTCCACCTTTCCAAACATAAGCGTTTCACTAAGAATTGTTCTGACATTACCTGTATCTGTAGCTTCTGGCGAGCGATATTTTTCAAAGTTAAAAATCGTTAAACGTTAATTAAATTAAGCACTTAGGAGGCACTTTTGGATTTCCCGAACTATTCTTATTTTATGGGGAAGTATTTACAGAATGGGCACATGAGTCTAATGCAAAAATGATGATTCGGATCCAGAAATGGCGTCCAAAAGACCTTGTTGGGAATATCGATTCAGAAACTCAAACTATTTTGGACATGTTTTAAAGAATTTACGACAGTCTTCTAAAGAGCAACCCAAGAATACTACTGCAGAAGAAATCGCCCACTACATCGCATTAGCAAAGACTGATAGAAGTATAAACACATTATTTTCCCATATTAAAGAAGCTTACTAATCGATATTTTTAATCAAACCAATAAGCTGTTTATTCAGAAAGGCTATTTTCTGAGGCAAGTTTGATTTATGAAGAAAAACGCGACCGACTTGATCCCAATCGTGCAGAAAAATTAGTTTTTTAGCACCACAATCCGCGCCTTTTGGACTTTAAATATTAATTAAAAAGCCTAACTAATTAACTTCAACATAACATGACCGATTTTTGACAAAATTTTATATTAATAATAGTAATTAATATTGTCTTTAAAGAGATAAAATAAAGTTTGATTTTTTTTTCGAGGTCTTTAGTTTTTTTATTCAATTAAAGTTTATTTTAGACAACTATTCGCTGAATGTCGAATAATACTATCTATTATTCGGTATTTATTCTAAATTCGACGTATAATAAATAAAATTTCAGTGTAATGCCGAATACCGAATAATAGCGAGTAATGATCTTGCTATAGAGCGAATCTCTAAACATAATGAACCACAAAAATGACTGCGTTACCGGTATTGATAATATTCCTACACTTGTCATCAAAAATGCTAAGGATAGCCTTATACCACCCTTATTACATCTGTGTAATTTTTGTCTGCCCACCGATGTTTTTCCCGCCATTCTAAAGAGGGCTCTCATCCCATTCACAAGAATGGCAGCAGAGACAGTGTCGCTAATTACAGACCTATCTCGGTGCTAACTATAGGCTCGAAGTTTCTGGAGAAACTCCTTAACTCTAGACTTATCAAATAATGTAATTTGTTTTTTTTAATCTAGAATTAAGAATGTAATTTCTCAAAATTAGTTTGACTTCCTAAAAGGTAAATCGACGAAAGATGCAACTCTGGAAATCACCGAGACTGTAGTTAAACATCTTGATGGCAAACATAAAGTTATTGGGGATCTTTCTAGATTTATCAAATCAAATGCGTTCGACACTATACAGCACATATGTGCCGTTGTTATTACGAAGGATGGATTTTATTGGAATATGCGGGGTTACACTCATACACATATATTTAGGGATTATCTTTCCAAACACTCAGAGTATGTCAAGGTAAAAAATTACTTAAATAAGGATAGAAATCTCACTTATGTGCTACCACAAGGCAGTGTTTTGGGTCCTAACCTCTTTCTCATGTACATCACTAGCTTATGCTCACTATCTCTCACTCACTGCAAAATTATCACCGACGCAAATAACAGTTTTGATCATACACGGGAAAGACTGACTGTGTAATGACATACAGAGAATGCCTTTAGGGACGTTGGTTGGCCCTAAAACTTATTAAATTTAAATTCAGATAAAACAAAGTACATCACATTCTCTCACTGACTTAACGCTCAACCGTCTTCTGTTTTTCATATAAGAGCACACACATGTGCCAGTGAAGATATAAATTGTAACTGCCCAAATCTAACTTCAACATCGGGCATTAAATACCTTGGACTAATCCTTGATAACCGTCTCAACTGGTCTATACATTCGCAAATCTAGAGCAACATTGACACAACTATCGAAAAGCCGTTGTGGAAATATCGCATTTTGGCGTGCGATTACCGGACGAAAACCGCGGTGAAGACAGTGCGCGGGGTGCCTTGTAGAGTGTAAGAGTACATGTATTTGGAAACTACAGCGACGCAAAGGTAATTATGACAAATTTATTTTATACATTTCGGTGCAACAACGTCTCAAATGTATTTTATGACATTACTGATTTGAAACAGTTTGAAGGAAATAATTACCTAATATACACTTGCGTCGATGTTGCTTCGAAATTTTTTATGATTTCGTTATTTTTTGGGATATGAGTGTAATTTTATGTCAGTATTACTCTGAAATGTTTAACAAATATTTTAGTTTTTCATTGCAATATAGAATAAAAAATATTTATTGTATTTTGATTTTTGTTAATTATTAGGTATGATTTTTTAAGCCTAGTTTAGTCGTTGGTGGTCATTTTCATGTTTTTTTTGTATATATTAGCTGCTAGAATGAGAAGCTGAGCACGAATGGTGGTCAAACTTCGTGAGCAAAAGAGTAAAGAGCTTGGTAGTACAATGGAAGGACCGCTTGTCTCAGAAACTCCTATTACTAGTATAATTGGTAATACAATTATGATTAGATTTGTTTTAATAATATTATGACAATTATTGTCAAAGTTCCTTTCCTTTATCTTCCTACTGAAATTTAAATAAATTACAGAGACATTATTATCTCAAGGATATGAAAAAACAAATAATAGTACAAATATTTGCGTGGGATATGAAAAAAAAAATCAATGATACAATTAATATTGGTACCGATTGCTATGTTAAATGTAAGTCTATTTACTTATGTTACATTTTTACCTACTTGATCGTACTATAATACTCTTATCCATAGTTCTACGGAGTAATTCTCAGTGTAGTCAGGATTATCAAATAAATTTATGTGCAAATTTAAAACTTTACATTTAACTTTTAGGTACCAACTTAGGTAAGTACTCTGTCGAATTATGAACAAGAGTAATTTATTTATTTATTTATTTATTACAAGATCCACAGTCCTAATTACAATGTAAATGAACTTAAGAAATAAACTTACAGCGAATAACGGATCTACTTTATACATTTTTTAACTTAAATTAATCGACCGACAATCAATAAGTTTGAGCCATAAAAACATAGAATTTTAGAATTAACAATTAAAAACAGCGCGTCTATCTTTCTCTCTGATCTGTGTGTTCGTATACGCGAGCGCTTGTGTGTGTGTTTGTGTGTGTTCAATATACATATTAACCATTTCCTTCAAGTATTTCAAGAACTTCCCTCTTAAACACATGTCTACTACTATGAAAAATGTCAGTAACATTAAGAGCTATTACGCACTGTGGACTGGTCGCCGGCGACTCAGTTGTCGACGACTGTAATATTGTATAGTTTAAATAGGTGTTTACGCACTAGTCACCGGTTGCCCGGGCGACTCGGCGACTCGCCGCGCAGTGGCGACGCACAGGCAACTGCCGGTCGCCGGCGACCAATAGGAGCACGGTTTCAAATTGCTTTCATTGAAAGCATTCACACTGCGAGCAACTGTCGTAACGACCGGACGGCCGCGCACAATGAGTTTTGACACGGATAAATTTATATCGGAAATACAATCCCGAAAAGCTATTTGGGATTTACAAAGTGAGGAATATGCTAATCGGGATTTGAAGAAAAAACAGTGGGAAGAAATAGTGGAGTTATTTGGAGGTGAAGAATTATCAGACGAAGAAAAAAAAAACTCAGGTAAGTAAGAAATGCCATTTATTTTTTATTAATTAATACTGCTCATCTGCCAAGATAATTGACCCTCAGTTGTAAAGTAATCAGCAAATACATCTCTGTATGATGCACCACGTCGCGTAGCTCTTTGGAAACCGTTTGGGACTTCTTCAAAGCCAGGAATGCTCAGGGTATCTTCAAATTTATATCCGTCTCTTTCTCGGACATAGTTGTGAAGAGCGCAACATGTTTTGATGATGCATGATACTAGATCTAAATTCACGTTGATAGGTCTGTGAAAAATCTGCCACTTGTTTGCTAATATGCCGAATGAACATTCAATATGGCGTCGTGCACGAGAAAGCCTATAATTAAATATTTTTTTCTTTGTTGTTAAATTTGATCCACCGAACGGTCGCATAATTTTGTCAGTTTGTCCAAATGCTTCGTCACCCACAATAACAAACGGTACTGGTATAGGGTTTGTCGATGAAATGGGCTTAGGTTCGGGTATTTGCAAATCATTGTTCATTAGCTTTTGATAAAACGTTGAATTTGTAAATATAGTTGAATCGCAATCCTTTCCATAGGAACCAACGTCTATGTATATGAACTTATAGTCAGAGTCACAAATGGCAAGCAAAATTACAGAAAAGAAGTGTTTGTAATTATAACACAATGATCCACTGTTGTATGGTTTTATAATTCTTACATGCTTACCATCTACGGCACCTATGCAATTTGGAAAATTGGCCCGTAAATGAAAATCTTTTGCGATTTTTAACCAATTTTCTTTTCTCGGTTGCGGTAAACACATGTCTTTTAGTACAACCCATATAAAATGACAAACTTCTCTTATTATTTCAGCTATAGTTGAAATCCCAAGTATGTATGAGTAATGTAAATCTACAAATTTACAACCGCTTCCAAGATATCTGGAATTAAAAAATAATTTAAATATATACATTATTTACAGGTCATTCACTTCAAAAGAAATGGAAAAATATAAGAAGCTGCTTTTCGCGAGAAGTACGAAGATTAAAAAATACTAAAAGCGGATCTGCTGCTTCCCATAAAACTCCCTATATTTATTATAATCAGCTGTTATTTTTGAAGAATACCGTTGGTAATTTGAACACAGAGAGTAACATTGCTGAACAAGAACATTTGACAAATGATCAAGAACCTTTAGGACCTTACTCGAGAGAAAATATAGTCGGAAGAAAAAAGAAAAAAACGTCAGATGATGGCACAAGCGAACTGTTAACCACATTAAACAAGTGTATTGAAACTCGCAAAAATAAGGAGGATATTTTGGAACAAGATGAGGACAGAATGTTCCTGATGTCCCTATTATCATCATTTAGGGCAATTCCGGAGCACAAAAAGTCAGCTGCGAAAATTCAATTAATCAGTGTAATCGAATCATTCCGATCCTCTACTCAAAATAATATATATCCAAACACAATGTGGCGAAATTTTAATGAGTACGAGTATGAGCGTGGTTACTTCACACCGGAGGCCGGGCGTTCAACAGCACCAAGTCAACAATCACGCCCTGAAGCACAACATTATTATACGCTACCAACTTCAACTCCTTCAGAACGTGAACGCCCAGAGTCACGATTTTCTACTGTCACTTCAAATACCTCGCAAGATTCTGACATTTTGGATCTATTTTGAATATTTCCTTTTGTTGTGCGTTCGTTTATAATATTGATTTCATTAAGTACTTTAAAAAAATACATGTTTTATAATTATTTACCGTATATTTTTAAATTATGTCATCGAAGAGTAGACTTACAGATAGTGCCATCCACGAAGACGCGCCCCACTCTTTGTTCAAATGCATGTGTGCTATCTTCCGCATGTGTTAAACATCTGTCGATACACGCTAATTATCGATGAATGCAAACGCACACTAATAGAAATTGACTAATCAGGAAAGAGTATTATGAACAGCACGAAAGATGCTCTATTTAAATTTAATCGCGCATCTTCGTGGATGGCATTATCTGTAACTCTAAACACACTCCCGGACACATCTATCGGCCCACCTTGAGTTTTAAGTTTTGACTGGAGACCAGCTAAAAACAAATGTTAGGAAGAGCAATAAGTTTTTGCAGGTGTGAAGCTGATTTACTGGCCATCGTTTTCGTAAAAAACTGCATAAAAACTTATTGCACCACTTAACATTTATTTTTAGCTAGGGATTGTAAACACTTTAAACACTAGGTTTGGCCGATAGATGTGTCCGGGAATGTAATGTAAATTGTGTTAAAATCCCGTAAAAAATAAATGTTAGGAATGAATTTTATTTGAATTGTCACTTACCTTAGTGTTATAAAAAGTTTTTCTTCCGGAGAAATACATGGTCGCATATTTGTATCTATGCCAGTTATATGTGGTTTTAGAAGACACAATAAGACATCAAACGAACTCACAGACATTCTTGCATAATTAAAAAATTTACGAGGATATTTTCTAACGTCTTCATAAAATATTTTAAACATTCCCTTTGACCTCCGTTCTTCTAACAAAGGATGCACCCAATACTCTTTTGATTTTTTTTTATTTGTCTTTCTTTTTATAATTAGTAGCGCCGCTACTATTGCAAGTTCTTCAACGTCCATTCTGCACGAATGTACTTGGAATACTGTCGCTCGGCTCGGTCTCCGGGCCCTGTTTCCCATGTTTCGGTCGCCGAGGGACTGAGTCGCCGGCGACTAGTCGACAGTGCGTAATAGCCCTAAATTGCTTATTAAAAGTTCTATGCAATCGACTGACCAATGCGTTTTGTGCGTATTTTGATTGTGTTACAGCAAATAATTTTGTGTGTCACGTTCTAACTTTCGAGGCGCAGAAACTCAGTATTTTGGTTGATAGTTCAGGGCTATCTATATATCCGTTGCATATTCCGTGTAAAAAGGACATGTCAGCAAGTACACGCCTATTTTTGAGAGTCGTGAGATTATGATAATGACAGGATTCATCATAGTTTTTAAAGAGGCAATGGGACCGATAATTTAAGTGTTTTATGATTTTTTCTTGCATTTTCTCCAAATCTTGAGTATAAATGATATACTGAGGGTTCCAAACTATGCTACAGTATTCTAGGATGCTCCTAACATAAGCGTAATATAGTACTTTTAGGCAACCTATGTCTGAGAAGGGACGACTAACACGCAATACGAAACCCAGGCTTCTGTACGCTTTGTTTTTAATAATTTCTGTATGATCAGAAAATGTCAACTTGCAATCAATGTGAACACCGAGATCCCTAACATAAGCCGATTTTGCAATTTTAACATTACTAATATAGTATTCAAAATTGATTGGATGTTTCTTGCGAATAAAGGAAATAAAAGAACATTTATTTATATTTATTCCAATTCGATTATCAGTATAATATTGTTCTAGACTGTTAAGATCAGCTTGTAGGCCAGTACAATCCATATCATTTTTAATTTTCATAAATATTTTGGTGTCATCAGCGTAATATATAACATAATTATACCTACTTCATTTTGCTACGTATTTATTTTAACTTTGATTTTCCAAAAACTTTGTTAGATTTGTAATGTAGGTGATTTATATTATCTTAGTAACATCCAATAATTCCTAAATTGTTCTTTTCATTTAACCACAAAATCGGAAAAAAATGTTTCTTCTCCTTTAGATAAGACCGAAACCTCATCTATACTTGATATAAACAACGAAAATGACAGTGATAGCCAAATGAATTTAAGACTTTTCTGCAGATGATATTGCTGACGAACATAAGCCATAAAAAAACTGTTAAACGTCGTTATAATAATTCTACGTCATCCAGCTCAGCATCTAGTTCATCGTCTTCTAGCTCTTCCTCAAGCTCGTCATCGACGTCAACTATTGATAATTCTAACAATGTACCAAATACCAGGCAAGTAACGCCACCTCCAGAAATTACTGTGGCCAAGAAATGAAAAAAGAGGCTTCGAAATAAATCTGCATGGATTAACGTAAGAAAAGCATAAAAAACTCAGGAAAAAATTGGTATCTAGAACTGGTAAAACTATTGCAGAAAATTCTATAAATCCACTTTATACGGAAAAATGTAAGCTTACATATAGTACTAATATTACGGAGGAACAAAGGCGACAGATATTCGAATGTTATTGGAGCTTGTAAATATTACAGAGACAGCGCGATTTTATAAGCTCCTACATAACTACTTTAAAAGTTGCTTACCGTCGAGTAATATTAGAAATAGTAATCAAACTGAGTTTTTCATCTAACGGTTAATGGCGATAGAAAAAAAGACTTTCAAGACTTTTTTAAAATACTTTGGGGATATCAGAGAGAACATTGCGAACGGTTATTCAAGCTAACATTTGTGGTATACATACATTCAAACTTAATGGCGGCTAGGAACATCGTACGTTCCGATGCGCAGAACACAATTTTTGGGTATCAGCGGGATGTAGAGGGACGTGGTGGCGGGGCACATCCCCGCGCGCGCTGCCGCGCCCATTCTGTCTCATACGCACTCACGCGACGCGTTTGCTTTTAGTATTTGAGTTACGTTCACTCCTGCTTACGTACAGTTGAGCCCATAATTTGTTACTGTTTGTTAATTGTTTTGTTACGTTTTTTTGTTTGTTTTTGTTCCGTTAAGTTTTTATTGTTATTGACTGTTTTGTTTTCATCTGTGTGTTACACACATTAAGTTTTAGACTGTTGTTGGTTGTGGGAAAGTACTTTTATTATTTTGTTTAAATATGCCACGCGGACGATACAACGTTTTACGCAGGCAAGCCAGAAAAATGGTGTATAATGTCGTGCAATTTATGAAAAAGGAGAGTGAAGACGGCGTCCAAATTCCTCTGAAGCTCGTTCAAAAACGAGCCGCAGCAGCTACAGGCGTCTCACTAAGGACTGTACAAAGAATAGCTGCAACAGCAAATGAGTCGGAGATGCTAGCCGTCTTTCGTACTCCTGGCAAAAAAAGGAAGGGAGTCAAGAGAGTGACGAATATTGACAGCTTCGACCAAGGTGTCATCAAAAGGTGCGTGCACAACTTTCACGTGACTGAAAAAGAGTTGCCAACACTTAAACAATTACAAAGAAAATTAAAAGACGACATAAATTTCAACGGTTCTGTAACCAGCTTAGGCCGAATATTGAAACAATTAGGGTTTCAATGGAAGAACACCCAAAATGAGAGAAAAGTATTAATAGAGCAGTCTAATATTCGTTTACAGCGCATTGAATATCTGCATAGTATTACAAAATATCGCTCGGAAGGCATGTCAAAGGCTTGGGGAGATGGGTCACAAATGGGAGTTAAAAAGAAAATTTCGAAGGGTCAAAGAGTTGTAATAGTGCACGCGGGTTCTGAAGTCGGTTTTGTACCCAACGCACTTTTAATGTTTAAGGCGGGTACAAAAACCGGCGACTATCATGATAACATGAATTATGAAAATTATGAAAAATGGATCAAGAATCAACTCGTTCCAAATTTGCCAGCAAATTCAGTCGTTGTTGTAGATAATGCTTCTTATCACAACAAACAAGAAGATCCTGCACCTACCTCAAACTCAAGAAAAGCAGACATGCAATCATGGCTTCGTGAAAAAAATATTGAATTTGAGGAAACAATGCTGAAGCCACAACTATACAAGTTAATTGCGAAGAATAAAGAACGCTTCAAAAAATTTAACATCGATAAAATATTGAAAGAGAATAACCACTTAGTTTTACGCCTCCCCCCTTACCACCCCGATTTAAACCCCATCGAGATGGCATGGGCAGCAATAAAACAATACGTCGCAAAAAAAAACGTTAACAGGAACGTAAATTCAGTCATGGAATTGGTCCAGCAAAAAGTTAACGAAATGGGGGAAAATGAATGGGGGGCATTGTGCCGAAAAGTGATCAAGATAGAGGAAGAGTACAAAAAAAGTGACGTTGTCGTTGATAGATTGACGGACGAATTTATAATCCATGTCAGCGACGATGAATCAGATACCGAGTCTGAGGAGGAATCAGATTCCAGCGAAGACGAAGGAAGTGATGTTTCCATGGAAGCTCCTTCCACAAGCAAAGACGTTTTTATGGAAGGGATACAGCCCTTAACTTAAAATGAAAATAAAAACTTTATATATTATTTATAAAATCTGTTTTATTTTTAACCGACTTCAAAAAAGGATGAGGTTCTTAATTCATCTGTATTTTTCTTCCTTGAACCCTCCTCATACTTGCTAACTGACATTTATGTACATATGTACAGAACTTAAAACACAAAACTTTCAGTTATTAAAATAATTTAATTGAGCCTAAATTTTTGTCTACTTGACTGTACCTGCGCGCACCTGCACTCGCAGCTAACTTCCGAACCGCCATTAAGTTTGAATCGAGCTGTACTGGGATGGTTCCCGAGGACTAGCGTGACAACATGCTAACGATAATCAAATAAGTTCTCAAATTTTACAGTCCGTTTGTGACCACATAAACTCAGTTAGCATTAAAGAATTACATCGAAATTAAAATCTAACAGAGAACCCTTGCAAATAGCGAATTATGACGCGTATTTCCGGATTTTCAATACTGAATTAAATATCTCATTTTTCATTCCAAAAAAAAGATCAATTTGCCTATGCCAATCATACAAAAATGCTATTGATGAAGATAAGCTCACATTAGAAGAACCTTATAAAAAGTATCTAAGAGAAAAAGATCTAAGTAGAAAAGAAGAAGTCAAAGACAGGGTTATCAAGAAAATAGGATTGTGAAACTGTTCTTGCAATATATGATTTATAGGATGTATAGACAGTTATTTATGCCGGTCCCTATTGGTTCAGCTTTTTTCTACAAGTCAAAACTGAATTGTTTGAATTTTACGGTAAGTATTTCTCGCATTTAATTACATGGATTTATAAATAAATTAAAATATAATTATAAAATGTATGTCTTAAAATTCTTTTTACAGATTTCAAATATTAAAAACAACAATACAAATTGCTATTTTCGCATAAGGGACTTGGCAACAGAGGAGCAGTAAAAATTGACTTGTGTATTTATTTTTTTGAAAGAAACATTTGAGCGTTATCCTAATTGCAATGTCATATTTTACTCTGAGAATGGCTGTAGTCAGCAGAAAAACAGGTAAGTAAACGAAAGTTTAATATTATTATTAAGTATACAGCCAAATTTGAATGTATTTTTATGTGAATCTTTTTATTTTTTTCTAGATTCCTACTTGGAATGTACAATGCTGTTGAGACTCTTCCAGTAAAAGCAATAACGCATAAATATTTAATCAGTAGCCACACTCAAAATGAGGGTGACAATGATCATTCACTCATCAAGAAGTCCATTAATCCTCGGGTTGTCGCGTGGGTATTCAAAGCCCAGGTATTACAAAAACGATAAAAATATATATTTAAAATAATCGTAGTGACTCTGCTTTTTAGGTACCTTCCTGAATTGAATTATATATGGCGCGCATCGCGGCTAACTTTAGTTCGCGCGCAAGCGCTATGTTGTACGGTCGTGTTTGCATGCGAACGGGCTCTGAAAGACCCTACGCAACGAACCACGTAAGCAAAATTTTATAACCTATTATTATGGAATTTTCGTAATAAAACTCTTTTTTTTTATATTATAATTTCTTTGATAATGAATGAAATTTAATTTTATTCTTCTATTTGTTTCGTATTTTGATTTATTTCTGTTTGTTTTCATTGTATTAGATTATTTTTATCATTTTTAATTTAAAAAAAATAAACGTACATCAGCAAAGACGCATATATTGAGCTGGCTAGAAGAAAATGCCGATGACATCTTTGGTGGAGATGATGAGGAAAATTAAACCTTATCAAGTGAGTGAGCATGACACTGACTCGGAACAAGAATGTGACGATGATTTGAATCAGGTATTTTCAAATAATGATAAATCTTTGGAAATGGCAAACGAAGAGCACCTGGGTTTGAGATTGCTGAAGGAATCTATGGAAGTTCTCGAATCTGCGTTCAGTGATGGGGATGAAGAACTATTGATAAATATTTCGTCCAGTAACTTTTACATAGTGAAAAAGGGAGAGAAATGGCACCAGTAGAATTATTTGCAAATGGAGAAAGACCGTACCTATAGTCCGTTCGCGTTAAGAAAATAGTGAGTCATCGTTGTCCGCCGGCCTGGCCACGCCCCGCAGCCAATTAACTTCGAACAAAACGGTTGTGTATTTTGCGTGTTACTCGTTCAACATTAAATTTTGAAAATGAATACCTCACCTATTCGAAAGAATAAAAGTGGATCAATAATCCATAGCGCAGAGAGACGCGTAATTTACAATGTTTATAAGTACTTTAAACTGTGTGATTTAAATGCGACTGTGGAGAGCACAGTAATAACAGCAAGTGCATGTGGTGTGTCTGAAAATACTGTTTATAAAATTATTAAAGAACAAAAGGATACTAACACATTAAAATCACCCGTGAAAAATAGAGCTCGACTATCGAAGGTCGATAAATTAGATCAACTAGACAAATGTGCAATAAGGAGAAAAGTTCACTCAATATATTTAAATAACGACTACCCGACATTGGACAAAATTACATAGGCTGCACTAAAAGTATCGGGAATGGAATATTTCCACTGTTCCTGTCATCATCAAGATCAGGTGAAGAACTTCACTAGATCAAAGAGGATAAGGAGGTCATGGCCCAATGAAGGACTTCTTCCATTTATTGGTGAAATTAACTCAAAATTTACAGGGGTTGCTACATTAAGTGATATTGAAAACTTAAAGGTGCAATCCCAGTCATTAGCCGATTATGTGAACGTACTCAAGGAAATCCTAAAGACTCAACTAAATTTAAATGAGCAACTTATAACGGATGTGAAGAAAATGCAAATTGATCTTAATCCAATCAAATCTACTATAATCAATATTGTTAATGAGCTTGGATCTTATAAAGAGAGAGTTGACTCCTCATTTCATGAGATCAAGAAAGTGATAACATACCAGAGCCTCAAAATGGCATTGGAGTCAAGGCACTTGCCTTTTGAATTATTCCAGACGCAGCTTATTCAAACTATAGACAAATGTAATATTCACTACCTATCTGAGTCATTAATTTCAAAGATGAAACTTGAGGATATCCTCAGTGATGTCATCCCGCAATTAAACAAAATGCAATTGACCCCAGCAATAGAGAGGAATTCATTAAGTATGTATTATTCTCTACCATTAACAAATTGTCATGGTGACAAGGATAAATTCTTCATTCTACTCAATATACCAGTCATTCCCAATACCATTAACCATATTACAATATACAAGGTGAAACCAATCCCCATGTTGATAAATAATAGAAAATATATTATTGACACTGAGAACACAGAATTGATGTCATCAATCTCTCACCATTCATACAGGATTGATATCCCAACAGTATTATTCAGTCCAAATCGTGTTGACAAAGAGGTGTCAGGAATAATCCTGTCTAATGGATTACAAGTCTTAGACCAGGAGTCATGCTTAAGCAGATTGTTGAATGGGGCTCCTTTATCAACACTAAAAAGCAGATGCTCATTAAATGAGATAGGACGTAATTCATTGCCCTGGGTTCGCTTAAATGAAACATCATGGTACTACTCAGGTCCTGATACCACCCTCATTATTGATAACAATGGATCCGTCGAGTCAAGGAACTTGACTGCTGTGAACAATACCATAATAGTTACGTTACCATGTGGAATAAAGGTCAGGGACAGCTCCGGCAATGTCTTACAATCCAGTTTGATGTGTCGAGACCATCAGTCAGTCGTGATCACTCCTATTATCAGTTACCTATATTTCAACAGAAATACTCTATACTCACAAGCAATAACACCATTCCTCAACTTAAAAGTTAATTGGAGTAACGAAGTCCTCAACACAACATTTAATGTCTCTGACTATACTAAATTTCAACAAAGAATAAAGGATGCATACGCATTCTTAGAAAAACCAACTCCAGTGATCCAGTGGGAAAGCTTTACATCACTCCTGTGGACTTATGTCGGAATTGGAATCACTCTCACCAGCTTCTTTCTACTATTATATTGCTTTTATAAGCGATGTGGAGTTCCTAGATCGGGTTTAGTAGCACTACTTCCAAGTGCATCAGCTAACCCTATTGGAGTCACTTCAGCTGAATTTTGGACATCTGAAATGGTCATAATGATTGTAATATTGATCTCCTTGGGGCTTGTTTTCAAATTCTTGCGGAAAATCTTGATTAGACTATCTTGCCATTCCCTAAAAGTCCACAATGTCACCTCAACTACATCTGCTCACTTGGATCTTCATGTCTTGATATCAGACAGATACATAAATATTGCAGTAATGGATCTCCCCTTTCCGTCTTCACACCATAACTTAATTGATGCAAAAGGGACTACCATGTGTCCAGCAGATGGAACCCTCTTGCTAACCGACTTCAAGGCATTCAAGGATGTCCATGGAAATATCTGGGATGTAAATGGAAAGTACCATGTCAAAAATCTCTCGTCGTTTCCAGCAACATCTGGAACAATCTTTATATCGTCCTTTTTATTTTAGTATGTTCATATAAGTGTAATAACATTACTTTTCCTTGTAACTCTTAATGATATGTTTGATATTAAATAAAGTTGAATTACCAATCAAATTACCAATCATATTAAAATCTTTTTAATTGAAAACTCCTTGGTTTTAAAAATCGAATACCATTTACTTATTTAAAAAAAGATTCTCGGTCTTGTCACAAGGTTTTGTCAAACTTGTTTAGTCGTTGAGAAAATGGAAATGACTCGAGAAAATTCAAGAGCGATGATTTATTATGACTTTCGAAGTGGTTTAACACAAAAACAGTGTGTTGACCAGATGATTTCTGAATTTGGTGATGAAACATTCGGTAATCTTTACAATGTATTAATTGTTGTCCCTTAAAAATGTATGTTTTTCAACTTTAATTAAGTTACCTATTTTAAGCTTTACTGTACTGTTGTTGTTACATAAAGATAAATTTACTACTCAGCTTCAACTAACATGGGTAAATCTTTCAACAAGCTAAATTGAAATGTTATTCTAATGTATTTTTTCGGCACTCGTTGTCTGTTAATTGTGTAATGTTATAATATTGTACTTTCTTTTTAATGACTGTTTGTGTCACAATAAATTAAAAAAAAGAAACCCCATCCAAAACCACAATTTATCGCTGGTTTGCTGAATTTCAACGTGGATGTGTCAAGCTCAGTGATGATCCCCGTCAAGGTCGTCCAAAAACTGCAGTTACCCCAAGTCACATACCACGAAATTCAGGCAACTTTAGATATTGGCATGAGTCAAATACAAATAATCTTGCATGAACAATTAGGTGTAAAAAAGTTGTTTTCCCGATGGATACCGCATTCACTCTGTGAAGAGCAAAAAGCGGCTCGCTATACTTGGTGCGTCAGAACTCTCGAAAGATTCCACGCAGGATCCTCAAATGCTGTATACAACATTGTATCAGGTGACGAATCCTGGATATACGCGTACGAACCCGAAACAAAAAACCAGTCACGAGTTTGGGTGTTCGAAAATGAGTTAAAGCCAACAAAAATTGTTCGTTCACGGAGTGTTGCAAAAAAAATGGTGGCCACGTTTGTCTCCAAAACCGGCCATGTTACGAGTATTCCTCTTGAGGGACAAAGAACGGTTAATGCAGAATGGTATGCTAGCATTTGTTTGCCACAGGTCGTTTCTGAACTCCGTAAAGAGAACTGCAACCGCCGCATCATCCTCCATCACGACAATGCGAGTTATCACACCGCACACAGAACAAAAGAGTTTTAGAGCAAGAAAACATAGAATTATTAAACCATCCGCCGTACAGCCCCGACCTAAGCCCTAATGATTTATATACTTTCCCTAAAATAAAGAATAAATTGCGTGGACAGAGATTTTCATCACCTGAATAAGCTGTGGACGCCTACAAAACGGCCATTTTGGAGACCCCAACTTCCGAATGGAATGGTTGCTTCAATTATTGGTTCCATCGTATGGAAAAATGTGTCAAATTTCGCGGAGAATACTTCGAAAAGCAATAAATACATTTTTAAATAGTAATGTTGTGTCACTTCCTTGATTCCCGAAATTTTCAGTGCCGCCCTCGTATGACACTTTGCGAAGCTGACGAAGATATTCCTGTTTTCAAACGTACCACACTTCATAAAATAATCCACGAGCTTGGTTTCGATTTCAACAAACAGGATAGCAGAACATTGTTAGTCGAAAGAGAAGATATTGTTTTATGGACGCGTAAATATCTGAGGCAAATAAAAGAATACAGAACCGCTAATAAAACCATTTACTATCTTGACGAAACGTGGGTAAACGCCGGACACGTAAAGACAAAAGCATGGTTGGATACAACGGTAAAAAATAAAAGACAAGCCTTTCTAGATGGCTTATCAGCCGGTCCAAAAGCTCCGACAGGAAAAGGTAAAAGGTTAATTGTATAGCACATTGGCAGCGACAAAGGATTCGTGGAAGATGGTTTACTAGTATTTGAATCTAAGTCTACAAAAGACTATCATGAAGAGATGGATGGTGAAAGATGCCTAAATTGGTTCATTAATATAATGCCTAAGCTACAACCAGGAAGTGTGGTTGTCATGGATAACAATCCCTATCATTCGGTAAGAGTCGAAAAAATACCAACAACTAGCTGGAACAAGCAGCAAATAATAGATTGGCTGCAAAGCAAACGCAAATCCATGGACATGACTTATTTAAAAAAAGAATTATTAATGAAAGTTGCCGAAATCGCCCCACAATATAATAAATATTTAATAGATGAGACTGCCAAATGTAATGGCATTACAATTCTTCGCCTACCGCCTTACCATTGCAAACTTAATCCAATTGAATTGGTTTGGGCCCAAATAAAAAATTATGTTGGTGCCAATAACTCCACGTTCAAAATGAGTGACATAAAAAAATTATTACATGACGCAATAGCATTAATAGGCGCTAATCGTTGGAAGAAGTGCTGCGACCACGTGATACGCAAAGAAAATACCATGTGGAATTTGGATGACATCATGGAACTTGCAGAACAAAATTCTTTCATAATCAATGTAACTGGAGAATCTAGCGATACTGATTAGTGATTTAAGTAATTTTAAGAAAATTTGTTTCCATTAAATTTAATTAAATGTTTAAAAAAAAACAAGAAATTTTACTCCACTGTGAATACACCTTTACCCTGTAGTTGCACTGATGACTCACTATTTTCTTAACGCGAACGGACTATACAAGTCGTTATAACAAAAAGACATAATATAGTTAGGGAACAACCGGGTCCACAAGGTGTAGCGTGTGAGGTGACTAGTCCCTTCGAGTCTAGGCTCCTGTTTTGGGATATAAATATGTTGCAGCATGTTTCCTGCCGACTTCCAAAAAGGAGACGGTACTCAATTCGACTATGTTTTTTATGTGTGTTACCTCATAACTTTTTACTGGGTGAACCGATTTCGATGATCCTTTTTTTATTTGAAAGCTGGTACTTCTCGTGTGGTCCCATATGAATTTGATCAAGGTCAGACCGATAGTTTTGGGAGTTATTCTTAATAACTTATATTGAAGTCAGCTATACAAAATTTTTATTTTTAAATTATCGATTGCACAAACATAACGATAACATCCATGCAGGTCAATTATATGAGATCGGGAGATGCTGAGCAGACCAACTTGACTGAACTGAAAGCTTTGGACGGTATTATGTACCTAGTCAGGTCATAAGTATTGTCACACAGTAAAAACTTTTCTTTTAGAATGCTGGCCACAAAAAAGTTTATTGAATTCGAATTTCGAACCACGGTGAAAAGGGTGTTAAATGAAGACTTAGGGCTTCGGGCATATCGAAGAAAAACAGGACATCGTTTGAATGCTCGTCTAATGGACCTGAGACTGAAGAGATTCCGCGCTTTGTTGAAGCGGTACGCTGGAAAAAAATATTGGGAAATTCTTTTTTCGGATGAAAAAATTTTTACCGTAGAAGAGAGCTACAATAAACAAAATGATAAGGTGTACGCACACAGTAGTGAAGAAGCGAGCAACAATATTCCGCGTGTCCAACCAGGTCATTTTCCATCCTCGCTCATGGTATGGTTGGGAGTTTCTTATTGGGCCTTAACAGAGGTACATTTTTGTGAGAAAGGTGTAAAAACGAATGCAGTTGTGTATCAAAATACAGTCCTGACGAACCTTGTGGAACCTGTTTCTCATACCATGTTCAATAACAGGCACTGGGTATTCCAACAAGATTCGGCGCCAGCTCATAGAGCGAAGAGCACACAAGACTGGCTGGCGGCGCGTGAAATCGACTTTATCCGGCACGAAGACTGGCCCTCCTCCAGTCCAGATTTGAATCCGTTAGATTACAAGATATGGCAACACTTGGAGGAAAAGGCGTGCTCAAAGCCTCATCCCAATTTGGAGTCACTCAAGACATCCTTGATTAAGGCAGCCGCCGATATTGACATGGACCTCGTTCGTGCTGCGATAGACGACTGGCCGCGCAGATTGAAGGCCTGTATTCAAAATCACGAAGGTCATTTTGAATAAACTTTAGTGTCATAAGAATCTATGTTTTGTTAAGTTCATTTTGGTATATAAATGGTTACATAATGAATAAACTTGTTTCAATTATTTTATATTAAACATGTGACAGAATGACCAGGAGGTCTACTCTAATTCAACGAAAAACGAAATTTCGATCGAAATTTCGCTCAATTCCTACCATGGTTCCATTCGATTCGAAACTTCGTTGAAACGAAATTAGTTTGACGTTTAAATTATCTAAGCCTACTCTATTGCACTAAAGTTACGAACGAAAATTGAAGTTTGACAGATACTTGTTCGTAATTTTAACCTCAAATTGACGAAACCAAAAGTGTTAACTTTTTATTTTCGTTTTGGTCGATTTTGTTAAAAATTTAACTAAAATGGCTACGAGACAGCTTTTAATCGCGGCTGCTTTACGTGAAGAACGATTGGAGCGTAGAAGGAACCGGCGCCGCCTGCGTAATCAATTAAATATTTCAAATATTCCCGATCTAGAGTTTGTCGGAAATTACAGACTCAGTCGGGAATTATTCGAGGAGTTGTGCCAGGACATAGTGCCTTTATTGCCTCCAAAGGGAAGACGACATGGAATCGAGCCCACACTTAAAGTAAGTTTAAATTGTTTAAACACTCCCTTCTCTTTAATTTTTCATTTTACTGTTCATAAGCCTCAATCTGTGTTAATGTATTTCAGATACTTACTGCTTTGAACTTTTATGCCCGAGGAAGTTACCAGGGGTCAGTGGGACAAAATATGGATGGGCCCATGGCACAACAGACAGTGTCCCGTTGTTTACAAGAGGTAACAACTGCACTTAATGCACCCCACATACTAAGGAAGCACATAAGATTCCCACAAAATAGGAATGAAAGGAATCTTATTAAGCAGAAGTAAGTACTTACCTTCCTATCTAGTATTGATCGTTAAACTTATTAACATGTGAAATACCTAGTAATTAAAATATTATTCTGTTATTTTAAATGAACAATTTACATAAAAAGTGTGCCAAGACTAGGCAAATAAGTCATGCAAAAACAAATATAATTTTATTGTACAATTTACTATTTTATAATAATATTGTATCCTTATTGTAGATTTTATGATAAATATGGGCTACCCGCTGTGGTGGGGTGCATCGATTGTTCACATGTAGCCATAGTGAGGCCTTCGGAGCACGAGGAACGATATTTTAATCGAAAACATTTTCATTCGATTAATACTCAAGTTGTAAGTTTATGTACAATATTTTAACGTTTTTATTATGACATTCACTATTTTATTACTTACATTTTATCCTATGTTACATTGATGGAAATTCTTTTTCAGATATGTGACAGTGATTTATTAATTACAAATGTTGATGCTTCATATGGTGGAGCAACTCACGACGCTTATATTTGGAGGGAATGTGAGATAAGAAACCACTTGGAGGGTCTCCAGGATGAAACAGTTTATCTATTAGGCATGTCTTGATTTATAGTTTTGATATTCATTATGTGTAAGTAATGTGATGATGCAATTTACACAAATATTATATTTTTAAATTTTTAGGTGATTCTGGTTATGCTCTAAGGGAGCATATGATGACACCTGTAGATAATGCTGTTGAGAACTCTCCAGAGGGAAGGTACAATTACCTCCAAAAACGTGTACGCTGCACCATAGAACGCACATTTGGTGTATTGAAGGGTCGATGGAGATGTCTTTTGGCAGCTTGGGAACTCCATTACTGCCCAGAAACAGCAGGTAAAATTATATTAGCCTGCTGTGTTTTACACAACAGGTGTATAAGGGCTGGTATTGAAGGTCCCGAGTTGACTGAAGAGGAACACCAATCGGAGAGAACCAGGCAGGTTCCCTTTGAAACAGCCGCATCTTCTACTCAAGCTCTACAGGCAGGTCGAAAGGCAAGGAATTCATTAATACAAATGCTAATCTGAATATAAAACCAAATTAAACCAAATAGAAGTCTTTGTGGACCAAAGGACGCCCATATAAAGACTGCGACTTGAAATTGAAACTTTGTCAGGGAATGTGTATCGCGTTTGCAAAGTAGGCAAAGAAAAAAACAAAACATATTAATAACTCTTCACTTGAGCACACAGGAAAGAATCTCTACCTACGTCTTACACTTGAGCTTGAGAAACAAACTTAAAACTATTCAAACTTTCAAAGAATGCAAACAAAAAATCCACAAGTGATGACTGACATCATTGTGATAATACGGATAAGTTTGGTTGTTATACGATACTATAAACACCGTTTGTTATTATTGTACACCTTAACTTAGTCGGTTAACGGTCATTGAAAGGGTTATTTTAGTGACACTGTGATTTTCTTCGAAAACTTGTATATTTATTGCTTGTGTAAGATTTTTTGGAATAATATGCATAAAAAACCACGATTATTTTAATAAATTCGTAAAATACATAACATTGTTCGTTCCATTCGTTCACGAAAATTGTCTTTGGACTCGAACTTTGCGTGCGCGTCCGAAAATGATATAGAGTAGGGTCAGACACGAAACTTCGTTTAAATTTCGTTCGTTAACGAAGTTTCGTTTCGGAGAAAGAGAGTAGGCCTCCTGACTACTTATTTGATTATAATCCATAAATCGTCTCATACTTCGGTCGATGACGTTTGGATGGCTGACGGCACCGGAATCGAAAAATGTCAAGGTGTTATGTCTAAGCAACGATTTCAGTTTTTACACAGAGCATTTCGTTTTGACAACATCGATTCACGAGGAGAACGAAGCACCGTTGATAAACTAGCGCCGATAAGAGAAATTTATGAATCTTTTGTCAAAAATTGTGAAACATATTACAAAAATAATGAAAATGTTACCTTAGACGAAATGTTAGAGAGTTTCAGAGGCTCGTGCCGATTTCGCCAATATATGCCTAACAAACCTGCAAAGTATGGTATAAAGTTATTTTCTCTGGCGGATGCTAAAACATACTACACAAAGAAGTTAGAAATATACGTTGGGAAGTAGCTAGAAGGTTCGTATAATCTAGATACTTCAACTGTTGCTTTTGTCAAAAGGATGATAAAACCAATTGCAGGAAGTGGACGAAATGCGACGATGGATAACTGGTTTACGAGCATTTCGCTAGCTGAACAATTACTTACAGATTATAATTTGACAGTAGTTGGCACAGTGAAAAAGAACAAGCCGGACATCCCAAATGACTTCAAGCGAATATGCTTGGAAGAATTTTCCTGCGTGTTTGGTTATAAACAAACACAGACATTACTTTCTTACTGCCCCAAAAAGGATAAAATTGTACTATTGCTCTCGACAATGCACAATTATGGCGCAGTGGATGATTCTACTCAAAAAAGCTCCCGGGAGTGATAAGTTTTACAATAAAACAAAAGGTGTCGATGTGGTAGATAAACTGATCGGCACTTACTCTGTCGCTCGCATTTGTTACAGAGGGCCACGAAGGCTATTTTTTACATTTCTCGACGTGGGAGCTGTGAACGCCCATATAATATGAGATACTGTAAATCATGACAACAAAATGGGACGCA